GTGGTGGGGCCGCGGCCTCCACGTCCCCACACGCGCCCCGCCGCCTCACCCTGAGGGACCGGCCTGAGGACTCTCGTCGCCCGCGCGCGAGGGGAGACGGGCGCTGGCGGTCGCCCTCTGGCCTCAGTTTCCCTCCGTGCGCTGCGGGCCTTAAACTCAGGAGCCGTCTGTGGAGGGATCCCCGGGTGCCCCTGCCCCGACGCGGTCAGCCCTCGCAGGCACGGACGACGCCCGCACCTTCTCCGCGCCCCTCGCCGCCCTCTCCCCACCCCCGCTCCTCTCCGGACACCCGCTGCCCCTCTGCCCGCCCCTCCCGGGCACACCCGCTGCCCCCGCCCCCCCGCGCCCGCCCTCCTGGCCCGCCTCGCCCTCCCCACCCCCCGCGCTCGCCGGGTCCCTTCTGCCCTCCGCGCCCCTCGCCCCCCGCCGTCGCCGGCCATCCTGGTGCTCTGTTGGCAGCCTCCCTCTGCGTGAAGTCAAGTCGATCGGGCAACAGCCTCGGGACGTGTGGGGGTCTTTTGGGGGAGGGAGACAGGGAGGGGACGTGTGCTCAGGGAGATCAGTGTCTCGGGAATCTTAAATCAGGGCTTTGGATTTGGGTCGCTTTCCTTTTTAAAGCCCATGGCTATAGAAGTGCGTGTTTAAAGTCCGCACACCCCGGGGGCACTTTGAAAAGAGAGATGGGAATGCGTTCCAAACTCCCCAAGCAGACTAGCCAGGGGCCGAGGCCGGGCTCAGCGCCGCCCGGGCTGGGCCCGACTGATTCCCGCGGGGGGAAGTGCGTGGCCGACCCCGCTTCTGTGCGTCTCTCGGCTCGGTTTTCTTTCCTTAGAACCTGAAGTGGACAGGAGCAGAAACTCCTGTAGGGGCGGTCTAAGATGTCGTTTTTGATGGTACCTAGAGCAGGACTGTGTGTAGAGATGTGCGTTCATTCCTTGTCTTTAAGTGAGGAGCTCTTTTACCATTCTTGTTTCAAACACATTTGATTCTTGTTTGCTTCCCTGGCTGCTTCTGGTTTTCTTCCTGTAGTCTCTTGCTTTCTTCATTTTTCCATTCTCTGGTTCTTTGGAGTCCTATTGTTTTAACTTCAAAAATTGAAATATTGTTGAATCAACCAGAGCTTCTTGAAGAGAGCAATACATTTTCAGCACTTGGGGATAAGTCAATGATCCAGTGCTTCTTAAATTCCTAAATTTTAGAAGAGGTGACTTGTATTACCTTTTCTTTAGTTTTGTCCACCTTTTCCTATTCCTGTTTATTCCTTATTTCCATCTCCTATTTCTTCACCCTTCCTCCTTTTATTTATTTGACCATGTTAGTAGGAAGAGAACTCAAATCCTTTGTAGGATAAAACATAAGAAGAATTCATCGGTCAGAATACATTTAAACCAGATGTGGTTCACAACCTACTAGGGCTCCATCATTAGGTGATACGTTTATATTCTAAATAAGGTTCTCTTAGTCACAAGAAAAAAATTTGAATGATGCATTGAATTAAAAGATAATCTTAGTGTTATTTTATAGAATTAATAAAAAATGTTTTTGCTTGCTTGAAAATAGCATTAAAGGTTTTTGAGATAAAATTTGAAATATCTTTTCATGTTCTCTCTAGTTGATTAAATACGTCTAAGGAATACAGGCAACATGTTCTACACACATATGCTTATGAGCAAACGAGGGCCACTGGCCAAAATATGGCTTGCTGCTCATTGGGAGAAGAAACTCAAAAAGGCCCATGTATTTGAATGTAATCTAGAGATAACCATTGAAAAAATTATTTCACCTAAGGTATGTTGCTGATTAAAATAATAGCTTGTATTTGCCATGACTTCTGGAAAGAGAGGGCATTAAAATACATTTATATCATGAAAGGCATTTCCAAGGAAGTTTTACTACTGAAATGGTCTCTCTCCTAATTCCTGTAGCATTTATTATCATAACGTAACATAAACATATTGCTTTCTGTTGGTAATTAATTGTTGCATATATTTATCATAAATAGATTAGACCCTGAAGCCATGTTTATGAATATTTTATAATCCTAACAGAGTACATCCTAACAGAGTACAGTATACATAGTAAGTACCTAAGAAAGGTTTCTTAGAAAATGAATGAATAAATGATTGGGGAGGGTAGAAAGAAATGAGTATTGATTATAAATCCAAAAATATGTGAAAGCATGCCAGAAACCATAAAGTGTTATCTATGTCCATTATAAAACGGGTATAGAATTTGCATCAAAATATTATTTTAATATTTTTATATAAGTTGAGTATTATTCTGCTTGAGAGAAGGACAGATTACAGTTGAAAGCCCACTGTGTATTAGGCACTGGGCTCAACTTATTAATTTATGCCTCACAACAGTCTAATGAGGTCAACTTCTTTTAGGCCCTGTAAACTGTGGTTGGTCAAATTTATATTAATTACTGCTTCATCGCTTAATAGTTGTATTACTTTGGGCATGCTACATAACATATCTGAGTCTCAGTTTTTTCTTCTGTAAATAGAAGTTGTCAAAATTAAATAAATTAATGTATGAAAAACTCTTGAGACAACACCTGGCACAAAATAAGTATAAATTGTAGCCATTTTTATTAAACTGAAGATCAGGAAGACTATTTGACTCAGCCTCAGCAACTGAGCCAAGGCTTGGACCCCAGTTGACATGACTGCAGAGTTCTTATTCTTCTCTAATATTAATAATAGCATGCTTCATTTGAATAAGAGTAAAAGAGTTAATCATTTTTGCAAGCTGAGCTAAAAGTGATTTACTTTAAATAAGAATACAAAATGTTTGCCTTTTAAAGAGAAGAAATTATTATGAGTTCAGAATCTATAAAAGAACAGGATTTATAAACCTAATTTTTATTATTCTAATACCTTAAAATTATCGAAAGGTGAAAATTGCACTTCGAACTTCAGGACACCTTCTTCTGGGAGTTGTTCGAATCTATAATAGGAAGGCAAAATATCTTTTGGCAGATTGCAGTGAAGCATTTCTTAAAATGAAGATGACATTTCGCCCAGGTATATATGCAAAGCTGATTTTTTTGACTCTTTGTGGTTCCCTTTTCCATTTTAATTTTGGGTGGGCTCCTTTAATATACTCCTGATGAGTATGGTGAATGAAAACTTTGTTTTGACTGAGTCTAAGTTTCCATGGTGAAGGATAAATTATATTCGTTTCCTTGCTCTTTCCCTGTGCTTGCAGGAAAGGTTATGCTTTCCAAAACTTGTAATATTCCTGTATATTAAGTAAGACATATACTTAAAGCCCCACACTTGCATTAGAAACTTTGATATTCAATTTTTAATGGGTCGTTTAGTTTGTCATCTCTGTTTTTGCCTTTATGAGTTAAATTAGAAATAGTGTGATTGGTGAAACGTAGATATCAATAATGGGCATTGTTTTTAGAATTCTTAAGATTCTAAGTATTATTCTGTTTATGAATATTGTAAAAAAAACCTTCCTAGGTATTCCAAAATGCTAGAGATTTGCATGTGTAATAACTATAATGCTTTCAAAATTTAATCTACATAGCATCTGTTTTTCACTTTTAAGACACTCATTATTTTCCACTTTGTGTTATGGTTATTTAGGTACCGATCTTGTCTCTATCACTAGACTTTAAGCTCCTTGAAGGCAATGTCTTTGTCATAGTCATTTTCTCAGTCTCTTATAATATTTGTCTCTTGCACATGCTAGTCCCTCAATCAATATTTATTGAATTCAAATTAACAGATTTAAAAAATCTTCTTCATTTAAAATATTTAAAGAATCTCTAGGTAGATTTATATTTGTATCAAGTGTAGTTCATTTGTTCATTTATGTTTCTTTTATATATTCTACAAATATTTATTGATCCTGTACTTTGTGCCAAACACTATGTTAGGCACGGTGGAAGGCACTAACCCATTTAAAGCATGAGCATCATCTCATCTGATTACTTTTAAAAAGTATCACTCTGTCTGCTTTAGAGAGAATGGACTGCAGAGGGGTAGTAGTAGACGTGGGAAACCAGTTGAAGAGACTAAGCAGTAGTCCAGTATGAGAAAATAGAAAGTTAGCTGGGAGTTCCTTATTTCATATATCATCATTGCTTATTGAATGTGGTTCTTGATTCTTTTCAGGACTGGTTGACCTTCCAAAAGAGAATTTTGAAGCATCTTACAGTGCTATCACATTGCCAGAAGAATTTCATGATTTTGACAACCAGAATATGAAGTACATCATTTTATTTATTTTCCTTCAAACTTTTTGCAATTTTACTGTTTTCGTATTCATATTTCATTAAGGCAAATGGAATGTAGTTAACAATTGAACAAGTACATGTGCAGTTGTGTTAGGTTAAAAATCCCAGTAGAGGCCCTCAAAATGTTAGGTCAGAACTATTGGGGAGTCTGGTTTTTGATCCGGTGCCTTGCAAAAGATGCAAAGAACTTCACAAAAGTTAGATTGGAAAATATAGTTTATTTAGAAAGTAAATTGGAGAGAGAGGATATTCGATTCGCCTCCCCAAGGTAGGGGAGGGGCCCAAAGCTAGGAAACATGGGGTCCTTAGCTCGAAGAGCCACACGGACACACCAGAGTTTAACAAAGCAATGGCAAATGGCTGTTTGAGGTAGAATGCTTTTAAACCTTTCCTTTGATGGGGGCAGGCTGTTAAGGTGATTGGGTGGTAGTCATTTCAACATCATCATGAAGGGGACAGGAAGCACAGGTACTGGCATCAGGTGATGGACAGCAGACAGATGGGTGGGCTAGTCACATGACTGTTGTAATGTTGATGGTTCTGTGTCACCAAGGTGAAGGTCACAAAGGACTGATTAGGTTAAGTTGTTTACAAAACAAACTGGGGAGGTGGTTATAAAACAATTATCAATAGCTACCTCTGAGAAACCAGTTCTGTCCTTGATTGGAGGCAACCTAGGTAATGTTAAGAGAATATGACAGAACTAGGCAGTGTAAAGATGATTGCTCATTGGGTATAACAAGTTGACTTATATTTATGTGAAATTTCAAGTACAAAACCACTTAGGGCAAATGGAAAGGCCCTAGAGCAGAGCACATAAGACATTTTCAAGGAACATCAAGAAGGCAAGTGAGACTAGTGGAGCAAATGAGGGGCTGAGTGGTAGATGAGATGAAAGAGGTAGCAGGGGGTGCAGATGATGTAGGGTATCTATAGGCTACAGTGGGACTTTTAGGTTACTCAGGAAGCACAGGAGGGTTTTGAATTGAGGTGTGGCAAGGATCTGACTTGCTCCCTCTGGCTACTTACTAGAAGGGGGAAAGGGAAGAATCAGAGAGTCTGTGAGAAGGTAATTGCAGTAAGAAGTTCAGGTGAGAGAATATAGTACCTATGATTAGTTCTCAGTCTTCATCTTATCCAGGCGGTAACAGTAGAATTACAGATATATTTGGAAGGCAGAGCCAACAGGTTTTATTGATAAATTGCATATGGCTCTAAGAGAAATCAGTGAAGGATGACTATGTGATGTTTGGCATGAGGATAGAGTTACTACTTAATGAGGTTAGAATAACTAAGGAATAGCAGGTTTAAAGGGGGCAGAGAGAAGGAAGTAGATTAGGTTTTGGATGTAAATTCTGAGATGACTATTATACATCTGCTATGGTCTGAATGTATGTGTTCTCCTAAGATCCATATCTTGAAACATAACTCCCAAGTTGATGGCATTGAGGTGGGGCCTTGGGGAGGCGATTAGGTCATGAGGGCCCCAGCCTCATGAGTGAGATGAGTGCCCTTACAAAGGAGGTCTGCAGGAGTTTTCTTGCCTCTGCCACCACATGAGGACTGTCTATGAGGAAGAGGCTCTTTCCAGACACCAAATCTGCTGCTGCTTTGGTCTTAGACTTCCCAGCTCCAGAACTATGAACAATAAATTTCTATTTTTAAATTACCCAGTCTAAGCTATTTTGTTATTATACCTCAAATGGACTAAGATAACATCAAAGAGGGTTAGATAAGTAACTGAATATCTGGGTCTGAAGTTCAGGAGAGAAATCTGAACCGGATATGTAAATTTGTAAGTCGTAAGTGTATATGTGGAACTTCAACCATGGACCATAAGAGGTCTCCAAGGGAATGAGTTTAGATTTTTAAAAAGAGAGTTCTGAGGACTGAAAGTTCTGAGGTCATTCTGATTAGTTAGTAGTCTAGGAGATGAGGAAGAACTAATAAAGGAGACAGAAAAGGAGCGGAGAAGAAGAAAATTAGGAGAGAGTGGTATCTCAAAGGCCAAGAGAAGAATGTGTTCCATGAGGAAAGAAGTTGTCTTAGTGTGTTTTGGCTGTTGTAACAAAATACCCTAACCTGGGTAGCTTGTAAACAATAGAAAACTATTCCTCACAGATTTGGAGGCTGGGAAGTCCAAAATCAAGGTACCAGCAAATTCAGTGTCTGGTGAAGGTCTGCATCCTGGTTTATAAATGACAAACTTCTCACTGTATTCTCACGTGGTGAAAGGGGTGAGGCAGCTCTCTGGGACCTCTTGTATAGGGACACTAATCTTATTCATGAGAGGTCTGCCCTCAAGACCTAATCCCCTCCCAAAGGCCTAGTACCATCACATTGGAGATTAGGGTTCAACATATGAATTTGAGGTGGGAGAGACACAAACATTCATGCCATAGCATGGGTGAGCATCTATGCAAAATGCTGTTTCTTCATGTAAATAAGACAAAGACTAAAGATTGACCATTGGCTTTGGCAACCTGGAAATTATTTATATCTTTGTATATATAAAAAACTAGCATTAATAACTAATACTATCGATAAAATAATTGTTTTCAGTTTTTCACTGTACTGCAAAATCATTGGGTTCTGTTCACATGTTCTCCACAAACTTATATTTCTTCATAGTGCTGTTGATGTTTCAGAACACTGTACTCTGAACCAAAGCAGACCAGAAGAAATCACACTTAGAGAAGATTATGACAATGATTTACCTTTTCAAGATGGGAGCTTTGGTGAGAATATTTGAGAAATCAAGATTATGTATTATGATAATTTATATTTGCATTTTCTTTTGAAACAATTCCAGTATAAATATCTATAGAATGAATCTTTTGATGTATAAATGTAATTACCATTAAATTTTTCCTTGCATTTTCTAGCATAGATGTAATTGCCAAGACTCGGTCTTAGGATATACTTCCATTGTCAGTGTACAAACATTTACTGAATACCTAGTGTATGTCAGGTGCTATCATAGACATGAGTAGAACCAAAGAAACAGTACTGCCTTCAAGGAGCTTCAGGCTGGGAGGGAGACATTCAAATAAACAATTGCTATAGTTAACATATAAACAAGATTATATATGTATATTGCATAAAAATGGCTCCAAAATCTCATATGTCTTCCAGTGTATGGTGATCTAAATTGTAAAATAGCAGATCTTAAATCAGACTGGAGTGAGGAAAAGAAAATACTACCACTAAATGTACACATTGATTATGAAACAGAAACTGATTTTTAAAATGTTAAAATCTGGGCAAGGTGACTATACCTAAAAATTGAAGCAATATGATATAATGCAACTATAGAGTATTTCTCTTTTTTTCTGGCATCTACAACTCTCTGTCTTATGCGATGATATTTATACTCCTTGTTTATTGGTCTGCAATACTACCCATGAGGGTAGAGTCTGTGTAATGTCCATCTTTGAATTTCTTATAGTGCCCAAAACAGGGAGCATAGGAGAAAGATGGCCAGATGGTCAGGGAGAGAAGTCAAAAAAGTCATGCTTAAGCCACATCTATAACCTCAACTTCTCATCCTCACTCTGCTTTTGTAACTCTTATTATCTATATCTGTGTTTCTCAAATAATCTGTGATGAAGGACTAGTTATCTAATTTTTGTCAATTTCCAATCTGTGTTGTATTTTACTTTTGTAAAACATAATAAAAATGAATTCATAGAAAATTTTAAAATGTAAAAATCAAAATACAAGCCTAAAGTTTTTGTTATTAGAGTCAACATATGTAAAATTACTCTGTCAAATTGCTATAAAACTTCTGAGCATTTACTTCTAGCTTTCATATTTACTTTCTCATGGACCAGCACCAGTTCACATACTTTGAGTAGCACAGATTGCCCCAGACCTAGAAATGTAACACATTGGCAAAGAGATAATCATATTCCCTACTTACAAGACATGCTTTACAAATTTCCCAGTAAATGCTACTGTTCTTCTCTAGGCCTGAAACTTTAGGATCACTTTCAACTATCCTTTCTTCTTCTTTTTTTTTTTGAGTTGGAGTCTCACTGTGTCGCCCAGACTGGAGTGCAGTGGCTGCTCCTGGCCACTGCAGCCTCGACCTCCTGGGCTCTGGTGATCCTTCCGCCTCAGCCTTCCAAGTAGCTGGAACTACAGGCGCGCACTACCACACCCGGCTAATTTTTGATTTATTGTAGAGATGAGGTCTTGCCAAGTTGCCCAGGTGGGTCTCCAACCAGTGGGCTCGGGCAATTCACTCACCTCAGCCTCCCAAGGCACGGGATTACAGGCTAAGCCACCGAGCCCGGCTCAACTATCCTTTCTATCAGCTTCATACTAGTACTGATTGTTTAAATAATTCTGAAATATCTCTAAAGTCTTTTTTCTGTTTCCTTAGCCACCAATATTGTTCACCAATCCCAAAGACCTGGAGTTCTACAGTGCACTCCTACAAATCTTCCTCTGTTTTCTTCTCAAATTTTATATATATATTTGTCTTTAAATTCAATTTTTAAAATATCACATTCCTCTGCTTAAGTATCTTGGGTCCTTAGGACTTACTGTGTCAAACACCTCTGCCTATCCTCACGGCCCTCTACTACGTTATCACCTTCTTTGTTTTATCAGCTTTGTTTTACTCTTTTTTTTTTTTTTTTAGTAGAAGTCTTACCTCATCACCCAGACTGGAGAGCAGTGGCACACTCACGGCCACTGCATCCACAACCTACTGGGCTCAGGCAATCCTGCTTCAGCCTTCCGAGTAGCTGGAACTATAGGCGCATACCACTACTTCCGGCTAATTTTTCGATTTATTGTAGAGATGAGGTCTCACCGTGTTGCCCAGGCTGATCTCGAACCTATGGGATCAGGGCTCAGGGCTCAGGCGGTCCTCTCCCCTCAGCCTCCCAAAGTGCTGGGATTACAGGCATGATAAAGACTTTTTCTGTAGTCAAGTAAATGTCTTACCATCCAACCAACACAATTTAGTTGTTTACAGTTCTGTTGTCTTATACAATTCAGAAAGGTGGGAAGAATATGTCCTTAGCCAACTGACAGACCTGGATTTGAATCTGAACTTTCTCTGTTGACTTGCTGTATGTTATTGGGCATATTGCCCAACCTCTCTGAGCCTTACTGCCCTATCTGTAAAGTTAGGATACAACTATTAACATCATATGGTTGTTTCCCTTGTTCCCTCGTTCAGTTTCTCCACCAATATGTGATTTTTCTCTCCTTTGAAAACTACCTCAAACCTAATGTCATCTAAGAAATATTTAACATTAATCCATCAATTCTGGATTACAATATAAGATCAAAGGCAATGACTATTTCTTTGATTTATCTTGTGTAATCTTAATTCTTGTGATGCTCAATGCTTAGAATAAAGTGTCTGTTCATAAATGCTATTCTCTGATAGATCAAGGCTATTTTCTGGGGGGAGGAGCTATCAAGCTGCACCTGGATGATGTGTATATGTTCTTTGTTCTTTTTGAAAAAGTACCTTAATATTAATTTTAATATTAATATTGGGCAAGTATACACTTTAGCATGATGATGGTTGGTTTTTTCAATTCTTTTCTAGAAGATGCAGGTCTATATAAGAATTTTCAATATCAGTAATACTTCATTATTTTCCTTTTTTTTTTTTTTTTTGAGTTGGAATCTCACTCTGTAGCCCAGGTGCACACTCACGGCCACGCCAGCATCGACCTGCTGGGCTCCGAAGATCCTTCTGCCTCAGCCTTCCAAGTAGCTGGAACTGCAGGCTCATACTACCATGCCTGGCTAAGTTTTTATTTATTGTAGAGAGGAGGTCTTGCCAAGTTGCCCGGGCTAGTCTTGAACCCGCGGGCTCAGGCAATCCACTCGCCTCAGCCTCCCAAAGTGCTGGGATTACAGGCTGAGCCACCGAGCCCAACATTATTTTCTTTACTGTCTAACACTAGCAATTTATTAAGAAGAGGAAAGAGAAGACCAACCTCTGACATCTGGGATTTCAGACTCCTTGACCTAGAGATTCAAACCCAAGGGAGAGAAAGGAAAGAGGGTTGACTTCTGGTCTTCCTAAACTATCCAAATAGTGTATTGACTATCAGAATGCAGGCTTTGGAGTCAGAGAAAGCTGAGCCCAGATCCCATCTGTCGTTCATTAGGGTGTGACTGTGTGCGAGTTACTAAAACTTCCTGTGGATATATTTCCTCATCTGTGCAATGAGGAGTATAATAGTATCTTCTATTACACAATATAATGCATATAATAAACACTCAATTAATGTTAGCTGACTGGGTTTGTCATTTTTGCAAACAAACCTGAATCCTCACCTCCTAGCATATTCAGTAAGCATTTGTTGAATGACTGTTATCAGTCCATTCTTTAATATTTTATTTACCTTTCTATTTCCTAAGGCAGATATGTTCCTTGTTTTCCAAACCTCCAGTATGGATGAATAGTACAAGCAATTGTCCTTGAAATACTATGAATACAAGGGGAACCCAAAGAACCTGGAATTTATTTATTTCAAAAATGTGTATTTAGTCTTACATGTTTAAACTTCATTACTTTCAAAGTACTCTTTGTTTGATGCAATGCATCTATCAAGACACTTTTCCCACTGCTCAAAACAGTTTTCGAACTTGTCAATTTTGATGCTGGTAAAATCCTTTTGAAGACTTTTTTATCTGGGAAAACAAAAAAAAAAGTCACTCAGGGCGAGATCAGGTGAATAGGGAAGGTGTGGCACAGGGGTCATGCTTTTTTAGTCAAAAACTGTTGAACACTCAGCTCGGTGTGGGCAGGTACACTCCTAAATCACTCAACATGAAATGGACAAATGCGTTGAAAGAATCTCCAAAAAAATCATCTGAAGTTGAATGCAGCCTCTCACAACAATGCTAGCTGGTACACTGATGCTGATGGGTTCCTAGAACACTTTATCTTGTGGGAGAAACCTGTACTACAAAGGGTCTGCCCTCCAAAAAACAAAAGCATAATTCCAGGTTTTGGGGAGGGATCCCCTTGTGTACTTGATCAAGCAGAACTGGGTTTTCCTAAAGTAGAAGAAATCATTCCACTGCCATGATGTTTTTACCTTAGGAAATTATTAAACTATAATTTAATAGTTTAACTTTTTTTTCTTATTGTATTTGAAAGAGCATTAGACTAGAAATCTAGCCTCTACTGATTAACTGAGTAACTTTAGTTGAAGAATCCAAATAAATTTTTCAGCTTTAGTCTCTTCATTCATAAAATGAAAGGGAATTATACTAGATGATATCTGAATTTCCTTCTAACCTTAAAATTCTGTTTCTATGAGTAACTTAGTGCTAATGATGTATATTTATTTAGGGGAGGAACCTGAAATTCTCAGAAGACATAGCTTCTTTGATGACAACATATTACTGAATTCCAGTGGCCCTTTAGTTGAACATAGTTCTGGAAGCCTCACCGGAGAAAAATCTTTGTTCTGTGATAGCAGAGATGGATTTGGAGATGAAGGACCTGCAGGAGAAATGATTGGTATGCTGTGTAGTCATGTAGAAATCAAATACTTATTTTAATCAAGTTGCTACAATGTACTTGTAGATGTATTACATCTACCTAAATTTCAGATATGCTTTTGTGTCGTATAGGTCAATACATTTATTTATGCAAGTTTTCAAAGTCCATGGCATATTTAAACGTTTAGACTAGGCCTAAGTAAATAGCCATCTGTTTAAACATATTTTCCTCGAAGGTTGTAACCTGATGCTTATTTTTATCTAAACATTTTTAATTTTTGGAGGGAAAGGACTGAAGATAGTATATTCCTCACAAAATATACTAGACTATATACTAGAAAACATTGTTTTCTTTAACATTTGGGAAGCTAGTCTAAAGTATCTTTCCAAAATTTTATATTATTATTTTATGTTTATATCACATTATTATTGTAGAAATAGAGTAGACAAAAACTGAGAAACTCAAATGCACATATTTTAAAGATTGTTTATTGACTGTTTATATAAAATGTTTTTTAAAATTACCTGTTCACATTAGAGGTCTGGTTATTCTTTTGCAATGCCTTGCATAAAGCAATGTTCATAATGTTTAGTGAACAAATGACAGATTCAAGTCTTTATGACAAAAGTATTCATTGTGTTTTTTAAGACAACCTATTGCATAATGATCAGAATATCCTGTTAGAAGACACAGATTTGAACAGAGAAATTTCTCTGCCTCCTGAGCCTCCCAGTACTATAGTGGGTATGTTGAAATTTTCCTTTGTAAGAAAGTGAACAGAAACTAATATTCAAATTAAGCCTCAAAACTTCTGAGTTTAAGTAGCAATCAATATAAGTATACTAGAAGATAATACATTGTCCCTCAGACTCTCTTAGTCTGTCTTGAGACAATATAAAAGAGGAAGTTGGGTTCTGAGAAAGGTACCATGAAGGGTATTTAGCCAGGATTGGGTTTAGTATAAAAGTATATTTAAATACTGTGCCAAAATACTGTGTTTTGGAATTATTAAAATATTATTAATACATGGTACATGGTAAGAAGTGATTAACTGATAGTATGATTTGGCAGTCTGCATAGAATTTGAGAGAGATTACAAATTGGTGGTATTTTCCTTACTTTAAATTCATATGAAGTATCTCAGATGACTTGAAGTCTGTTAGTCTGATTTTTCCTAAGAATTAAAAATTCAATTAGCCCCATTTGGATTCTTCACAATTTTCAATGTGTTTACTTTCTAAAACAATAGTAGAAATTGAAAATATGAAGAGTTAGACAATAAAAATTTAGTTATAGTTTTTTATAAGTCACCTGATAATTGATTGAATAGAATACAAAATTTTCAGTAGACATATAGTCAAATTTATGTCAGTCATTTATTGAAGTTGCTACCATTGTTTTCACTTCTGCTGTGATGATAACCCAGGCTTTGATGTCTCATGTGCAAAAGGCAGTGATGATACTTGACTCCCTAAAATACTGTGGGTCCCAGACCATATAATCTCTGAGCCTCTGAACTCATTAAATATATGAGTCTAAGAATTCTGATGTGGTATCAGTTATCAATATAAATTTTCAATTAGTTTACTTTAATTCTCATACAGTCTTCTTAGCTTGCAACATAACCTTTATTTTTTTTACACTTACTTTTATGCTGATGTTGATTGGTAGAACCAGATAATCAAGAGTGTTTATGTCTACCTGAAAATGAAAAAATGAATGAAACAACATTATTATCAAATGAAGAGGAAAGATTTATCCTTGATACAATTGATGCTTCAGGTCAGAGGCATTCATATTTTTGTGTTATTTTTTGATATACTGTTAACTTATTTACTTTGAGACATTTGAATAATCTGTGAAATATTATTGGAGGTAGTCAACATAGTAATAGCACCTGTAATACAATAGGAGAAGACTAAAGGAAATTTGAGATGATCCTCTCATTATATAAAATCCTGTTCAAACCATATATCCAGTTTGGGAAACTGGAAAATTTAAAACAGTGAATTTAGGAAGGTATTAAGCCATTACTCTGTGGTAGACACAGGAATGAAGAAGGCAGGCTTCCTGTTCTTAAGACACTTACAATACAATCTAATCAGGAAGATAAATAATCATGCAAGTGAATGTAATATAAGGCAGAATAAAAGGATCGGGAGAGAAGCACGATGGCTTCTAACATTTCACTTCAAGCATGTTTTTAGGAATATACAGTAAGTATGAATCTAATATACAACTAGATCCTTTGGGAACACTCTCATTTTATGTAGTCTAATTGATATGAATTTTAGCTTATACACCAAGGAATGCAAGGAGCAAAGCCTTCCATTTTTTTCTTTACTGAATTCAACTCTGAGCCTTTATCCCACTGGGCTGTGAGGAAATTCAGTCTGCATAGCTTCCCTATCTTCCCTAAGCCATGTAGTACTAAAGTTTGGAGGAGGGTATGGAAGTTGGAAGGGAACTCCTGGTCATTAACCATACCAGTTTTGGTGCCTGCTGCCCCAGACTACATAGCCTCTGGGATCATCACACAGCCAGTCTCTCTGGGAGCTTGTCATGGTCCAAGAATTTTACTGAAGTACATCAGCAGGCAGGTTCCTGTACCTGCTGGCTCCATCTGATCTTGGGTCTTCTTCACCTATCCTGAGAAATCTAACCTTCTCTCCCCCTTTGCAGCTTTTCTAAAGAAAAGTTTGACTTCTGCTTTCTGCTTCATAAAATTTTCTAATGGACTGAAATCCCATGGAACTAACTACCTACTTAGAATTTGTATATAAATTTCTGCAGAGGAGGGAAAAATACACTGGACAAATGCAAGCTAGTGTTTCAGAAAGTTATTACGTTACATAAGCATTTTAAGGAACCTCCAAGTTGGTTGACTTTTCTTTCAAAATAGCTTCTTTCCCACATTTCCTCAACTGCTGATTTAGCAGGTGGACAGAGTTCCTTCTAAGCACTTTTGAACAACACCTTACAAAATTTGTCAGCTTTTGACTGCACAGGCACTCTAAGCTGCGCATAAACCTTGTATCGGATAATTTTCAGAGGACAAGAGAAGTGATTTTCTTTCCTATGCAACTCTGTAGATTGTATCGTGGTAGACATTTCTATGCAGTGCCTAGACTGTCATTTTATAAAGCTGTGTAACCAATCATATGTGTGCGTATTTTTTATATGTAGACATTACTGAGAAAAGAAAAGGCAAAAAGAGGAAATTGCTCATAGATCCAGTCAAGGAGATCAGTAGCAAAACTATGCATAAACAGCTCACTTCCTTTATGGACACACTCATGGTTTTAGAACTCGCGCCTCCTACCCAAAAATTGATGATGTGGAAAAAGAAGGGAGGAGTGGATACACTTTTGTCAACGGCTGCCCAGGATTTGATTCACACTGAACTGAAAATGGTAATAGTTTTCATCCTTTTACATGGGTGCAATGTTTGGTTATAAATAAATGCATATTTAGAAACATATGTACAACAGAATTTAAACTTATGAAAAAGTACCCCATCACTTTTGAATTAATTTGTTGAATATGTGTGTATGAATTATAGTTTTTCCTTTTTTTTTTTTTTTTTTTGAGTTGGAATCTCACTCCATCGCCCAGGCTGGAGTGCAATGGCATGCTCACGGCCACCCCAGCTTTGACCTGCTGGGCTCTGGCAATCTCTCTGCCTCAGCCTTCCAAGTAGCCGGAACGACAGGCGCACACTTCCTCGCCCAGCTAAGATTTTATTTATTGTAGAGACGAGGTCCCACCAAGTTGCCCAAACCCGCAGGCTGAGCCACTGAGCCCAGCCATAGTTTTTACTTTTTAGCATATGTGCTTGTATTGTATTGAATTGCCTTACTAGTACAAAAACAAGAAACAAAATGTATATTTTTACAGTTGTTTACCAAATGCTTTCTGTCTTCTGGCTTTAAACTTGGAAGAAAATTGATAGAGAAGGAGTCAGTAAGAGAAGAGGGAGGCCAAAACACAGTAGGTGAGATTTTGCAATTCTGTTGATGTGGAGGGGAATGTTGTAGAAACAAAGGTTTCATTTTACATTTCAGAATGAAGATGGATCCAACTCCATTTCCAAGTATAAATGCTATCTCTAGAAGAGTAGTTGAGCTAATGAAATGTTACTTCAGTATCATATTTTTCTGCTTTTTGGATTAATTTTTGTCTCAGAGACTTCATGAAAAAGATGAAGTAAATATACTATATGGACCATTCGTATTCTCACTCTTTCCTACCTTCCTCATCCCCAAAGACAGTACTCACAAACCCTCAAAAAAGAACATATTAAGCCGGGCTTGGTGACTCAGCCTGTAATCCTGCGCCTTTGGGAGGCTGAGGGGAGTGGATTGCCTGAGCCCGTGGGTTTGAGACCCGTCTGGGCAGCGAGACCTCATCTCTACAATAAATCAAAAAATCAGCCGGGCGTGGTAGCGCACGCCTGTAATTCCGGCTACTTGGAAGGTTGAGGCGGAAGGATCGCCGGAGCCCAGCAGGTCGAGGCTGCGGTGGCCGGGAGCAGCCACTGCCCTCCAGTCTGGGCGACAGAGTGAGACTCCAACTCAAAAAAAAAAAAAGAACATATTTATAGTTAGCAGGATGATGTTTCAATGTAGAACAACTAACATGAAAAATCACATAAGGATAGGAGCAGCACTTAAACAATACAGTTAACCTGTGACATAGATATTTCCATCCACCCAAAAGGCACTTGAAGTATTAATAATCATTTATTATTATTATGATAATTATAAATAATAAAACCAATTTATGTAGTGAGTGAGCCTCCACTTCCTGATCACCTTTCCTGAAGGCATTAAAATCTACTGAACAATACACCACAAAGGGTTTGAACTATCCATGTTGTCTTGTGAATGAACATGTGAGTGCGTGTGGAGGAGATGGTTGGCAGAGGATGGGAAGTGGAGATAATGAAAAGACAGGAAGGAAAAGAGAAGATAAATATGAGAGAAAATATGGGTACTCTGCTGAAATTCTTGGATCCCAAATTGTGTGTCAGAAGTTTTCTTTTATAACAACCATATCCTAATTCAAGTTTGAAAGACATTTTGGTGAAATCTTTTTTGTTTCCTCGGTAATCCAGAGACCTCTATGATGGAAAAGCAAAATGTCCAAAAAGAGTTAAGTCAACCCCAAATTTGGAAGGATGTGATTGATGGATCTAAGGGCAGCTTTCATGAGGATACCAATAAAAATGTTAACTCTGAGGTGAGCTATCCAGAGAGAATCATAAACATATTATCATTTTCTATAAATGCAGCCAAGGAATGTTGGGATTCTAGTTTATTTTCTTATATTTGTGTTGTTCGTATCTAATCTTAAATTGTTCTGAAGTTTGTTTAGTAAGTGGCAGAGTAAAACATGATTTTCATCTGCAAACACAGCTATTTGAAAACATAGTTGGAAACAATGTACTTTTCAATATTTTCTCAATTGTCATTTTATTGGTTGTACAAGTGTAAATATTTTAGCCACACCTGATAAAAATGAACCAGTGCTTTTCTGGTCTGTTCCATCATCACTGTATTTTGATAACCACTCAGGGAATTCAAAGTCAACTCATGATGAAACTGAATGCCCTTGGAAGGAAAGACAATTTCACAATGCAGTCAAACAGAATGTGTTTTACTAAATATTTGATAATATGCTGGATACTGAGATACTGGGTTGCCAGTTTTCTTCTTTTCTCATTTGGTCTCAGGCATTTGTTAAAGTCTACCTACTGAAAATTATGATGAGACAAACTTGTTTGGTTTATTATTTTTTGGAAGGGAAATATATTAACAAAATATATTTTCCCATGGGCTTGAAGAGAAGAAAAGCGATTCATGTACAAGTTCTTTTGAGCCTTTATTCCTTTACTCTATGCTTATGCTTTAACCTTTAATTCCATTCTTAGTCTGCTTCCAAAATTGTGAACAAATGTGAAATATAGTCAAGTATTGGAGTATAGTTTGAAGGGTCAAGAAGATATTGATTCTGATTACTCATTTTCAAATCTTCATAAGCAAAAATTTTATATACAATAACTGCAAAATTGAGAGTATCTAAAATGTAGACTATTTATAGAGATTAAAAGAGAAAAAGCAAGGCCTTACAAATATGCATATTAAAGATAAAATGCAACTCCTTATGTTCACTAAAAGTCTTTAAAGCTGAAGCGAAAAATCAAGTAAACTATGTTAGAGGAGGCTCTTAATCAAGATCAGGGATAACAGCTGGGGATGAAGCTTGGTGACAGGTTGAAGATGAGAAGGGATCAACCGCTTTTATAGCAATGAGAAGGCGAAGAATGATGGGGACTGGCAGATCTCTGACTTGCTCTTTTTCCTTCTTCCTTTATGTCTTTGCTCCTCTTCCGGAGGATAGTTTCTTCTTCCCTTTTGCTAGTGATAGCTCCAACAGTGGTGGCAGGAATCCTGTCATGATTCTGGGTAGGGATATTAATATCTCTTCCCTCACTCTCACTCCCTCTGCTTGCCCATTGCCGATCTCTTTCCTCTGCCACCTGGTATTGGCAAGAGAATAGAGGTAGGCAACTGGGGCTAGATAAAATGCTTCAAAGCAAAGTGCTGTCAATAGCACAGCAGTAGAGACTTTTAATGTGAGGCCTACAATAGAGAAGAAAATAGGAAGGAAAAGGATAGGAAGAAAGGAGGGAAGGGGTGTGCAAGTACTTCATTTGTGGGAGTTTTCCATTCATATGGAGTTTTCCATTCATATGGAAAACAGGAATATTTAAGTCAAGGATTGCCTACCTGGGATATTTCAGAAATAGTATTTTGAGAATGTGAATAACATTTTAAATTGTTTGATAAATGAGCATTTATATGATTAAAGTATTTAACAAAATGAGATTGTTCCTGTATAATCACTAGCAGAATTACGTACCTTTCCCTAATCTACTTTGGCAGGATTTTGTTGAAAGTGTGTCTTCAGCTGCTGACGAATCATCTTTAAAGAATGCCTTCTGGGCACAAGAAATTGAATATTGTCCAGTTGGATTGGTAAATATATACCTAGTGTTGGGGATTTTTTAAAAAAATTGTTCCTGGCTGGGCGTGGTGGCTCATGCCTATAATTCCAGCACTTTGGGAAGCTGAGGTGAGAGGATTGCCTGAGTCCACAGGTTCGAGATCAGCCTGGCCAAGTTGGCAAAACCTCATCTCTACAAGTAAAAAAAAAATTAGCTGGGCATGGTGGCCCATGCCTATAGTTCCAGCTACTTGGAAGGCTGAGGCGAAAGGATTGCCTGAGCCTAGTAGGTTGATGCTGCAGTGGCCGTGAGAGTGCCACTGCCCTCCAGCCTGGGTGACAGAGTGAGACTCCAACTCCAAAAAATAAAATTAAATTTAAATTAAAAATTGTTCCTAAATATTTAACACTTTATTTTAGAGCTGTCATGTTACTTTCTAAATTTATCATTTAAATTCATAATCTCAACAGAGATGTTTGTGAACAGTTTGATAAAACATTCAGAATTGCTTTGACTTCTTTGTCCTTAATTTCTTTTGAAACTTCAAATACTTCAAAGGTAAGTATAAGATTTTTATGCTTATCAAAGGTTTTAAAATGTTGAGAATCAGCCTGGCTCGGAGACTCAGCCTGTAATCCTAGCATTTTAGGAGGCTGAGGAGAGTGGATTGCCTGAGCCTGTGGGTTCGAGACCCACCCGGGCAACTTGGCGAGACCCCGTCTCTACAATAAATCAAAAATTAGCTGGGCGTGGTAGCACACACCTGTAATTCCAGCTACTTGGAAGGCTGAGACAGAAGGACGCTGGAGCCCAGCAGGTCGTGGCTGTGGTGGCTGGGAACATGCCACTGCACTCCAGCCTGGGCAATAGAGTGAGACTCCAACTCAAAAAATAAAATAAAATGTTGAGAATCACTGTTTTAAGTTATTCATATCACATCTCTAGAGAAACAGAACTATATTGGGGGATGGCCTATAGCATTTAAAATTTTATTTTATTTACAAAATAATTGTGGGCATTTTTTCCTTAACCTTATGTGACTCAAGGTCTGTATCTGTACAAGACTTCTGGAAATCAGAAAAATAAAATGGCCTGTTCAGAGCATTATCACATAACAAATTCAATAGCAAAGACAAGTAAAATCTGATTCCCCTAACTCCCCGTGTGTTACTACCTTATTTCTCTGGTTCTTTTCCCAGAGTACTGAAGACATTTTTAAGATTATAAAGAATTTTACCAAAAGTTATTTTAGTAAATAACATCAAAATGCCTATTAAGCCTGATGTTAACTTGACTCTGAAGAAAGTATCTTTATAATGGGTTCCATAACTAATAGGTTGTTTTTCATATGTGGAAAACAGACTGAATTTTCTGGATAGTCTAGGACAGAATAAATAACCTGAACTTTTTACCTAAACATCCAAACAGCTGAGGCAGAAGTGGGTTGATTCATTTTTGCCATTCTCTTTGCTTCTATAGACACAGGTTATTTTCATACATGGTCAAGCAAACCACAACACAGCACAAGTTCAGCTGTTTTAATAATCCACTGGGCTTTCCACACAATGGATTCAGCATGTAGGGTGTCCAGATAGATCAAGTGGACAGGCTTTAGCAAAATGCACAATTTCTTCTGAGCCTTTCTCTGGTTGGTTTAGTTGCACATTAGAGGTGAAGCTAGAGTCTCATGGATCTTGACAAAGAGGTTTTACATTTCAAAAATTGCATTTGTGTATTTAACAATAAAATAAACATTAGTAAGTGGGTGACCTCATTTATCCAAGGACAGATTAGAAAAGAATATTAATAAGTTATAGCTGGAGGCATATGGAAAACTCTTTAGAATAAAGTGATCATATCTTCAAATCAATTTCTTTGGGATAGAAGAAAGGATAGCATAGGCAGGCCCAGGAGGCTGGTATAGCTGTTGGGAATGAGAATTCAGCAGTTCCCAGACTGAGTCAAAGAGACTCTTTTTCTCACATGATTTAAAATGTCATGCAGAATATTCTGGAGCTTTCTGAAATTGCCTTGGAGTCTATGAAATTGAAAGCACTTTAGGAAATGTCTGGGCTCCAGAGCTATACTTGAAGACTAGACAAACAGTGGGCATGTGATAAAGGTGACACAGAAGCTGTATGGTTGCATGGTCAGAACTAGCCTAGGAATATTTATAAAGTAGGGCAGATTTGTGGCACTTGCCTTTCCCCAACCTTTTGTAGGCCTGCTCTTTTATCATACTCATGAACACCTTTGCTATGCACAGTTTCTGTTCTTATCTCATGAGGTGTTAGCTGGTAAGGGCTTAGCAGAGTTCTTGCAAAGGGATTTCAGCTTCATAATTTTTAAATATTGAGGTATTTCTGAAAGTGGTTAAGCCTTAAATACTGAAAAGAATGGATCTATTCAGATAACATGACAGGCAGTTGGTTAATCTTTTTTGGACAAGGCTCCCGAAATCTGAAAGGTTTCTAACACAATTGTTCACAGCCTACTAAACAGCAGTTATGTTTAGATCTTCTGTATTACCAGATAAGTTCAGATCAAGGTCCTTACAAGGCGGTTTTTCTATAACTTTATATTTACTCCTGTCAACTGAGTTCAGATTGACCAGAACTAGGATAGTCATAGGCAAAAATGGTTTTCTGTGCTAACTTTACTTTTCAAAGTAAGGGCACAACACCCTGGATGCATTACTGGATAAAGGCTGCAGAATTTCCTGCTTTGGAGCCTCTTATTAAAAGATAGCCTGAGGTATATAGGTGCAACCCTGCAAACATTGATCTACATTTGTATGTTAGTCTTACTCTCTCTATTATCAGACCATAAGCTCTTTATTTGGCAGAACCCAGTGTTATAGTTGTGTCTCTTGTAGCAGCTCACACTATGCTTGGCAAATAGTAAGCATTTAGTAAAATTTGCTTAAATGAAATATTTATCAATCATTCAAACAGGAATCATCGGAGAATGAACAAAATATTGAGGCAGAGAGATGGAATCAAAGAATACTTCAGATGCTAAATAGTTTACGGGTGAGATGGTAGGGTTTATCAACCCTATTTTTATTTTTAAAAACAAATAAAATACTGACTTCAAGCTTCTGGATGCCAATTGAAAAACTGTAGTTTTCTTTATTTTTTGAGGCCAAATTCCACCAGATTGAAAGGATTTTCAGTGGGATACCCAGGGCTAAATATAGGGGGGTTTTTTTGGTACCTGCATCAACTTCTTACCCACACTCATACCCCTGTACTCTATTCTGTGTTCCCATTCTCATTTTCATGGGCCATCAATTAATTATTAATATGAACTAAGTTGATAACAGTTTAAGAATGATGGCCTGGCTCGGTGGCTCAGCCTGTAATCCCAGCACTTTGGGAGGCCGAGACGAGTGGATTGCCTGAGCCTGCGGGTTCGAGACCCATCCGGGCAACTTGGTGAGACCTCGTCTCCACAGTAAATCAAAAAAATTAGCCGGGCGTGGTAGCACGCGCCTGTAATTCCGGCTACTTGGAAGGCGGAGGTGGAAGAATCCTCGGAGCCCAGCAGGTTGAGGCTGCGGGGGCCAGAAGCGGCCACTGCACTCCAGTCTGGGTGACAGAGTGAGACTCCAACTCAAAAAAAAAAAAAAAGAATGATAACTTAGGTAATTTTAAAATTTAGTTTATATTTTTTATAAAAGTAATATATTTATATAATTTTTAAAATTCAATAGTACTATGCTATAAGGCTGAAGAAGAAAGATAGGAAGGCCTTTGTGCTATTCCTCCTTATCCCTAAGTCCTGCTCACCAGAAGCAACTATATTAAGCTGTTTCTTTTAGTATTTATATCCATATTTCTACCACTCTTTCTTGGTATTTCAGCTTAAATTTTATCTATCGACTTCTTTTGACAGAAATAAAAATTTAACTTAGTTACATTCTGTACCCCAGTATACTTTTAGTATAGTGTTGTTAAGGGTATTATAATTGTAATAGTTGTGAAACAGGTTTAATTGTGACAGAGAGCCAAAATATTAGTGGCTGTAAAAAGAAGTTTATTTCTAACTCAGATAAAAGTCCAATCTGGAATGGTAGCTATGCTCATAGAATTGTCAGGACCCAGGTTTCCTCTGTCTTCTCAAGATCCAAAATAGCTTACTATCCCACCATGTCTATAATTTAATCAGTAAAGCAAAGTTTTCTTTAAGGGTACACCCCAGAAATTGTGTGCATCACTTTTTGCATTTCATTGACTAGCACTTAGTCACATTACCACATCTAGTTAGAAAATGTAGTCTTGGCCAGGTGCAGTGGCTCAAGCCTGTAATCCCCATACTTTGGGAGGCCGAGGCAAGAGAACTACCTGGTCCAGGGATTTGAGACTGGCCTGGGCAACTTGGTGAGACCTCGTTTCTACAATAAATTAAAAAAAAAAAATTAGCGGGCGTGGTGGTGCATGCCTGTAGTTCCAGCTACTCGGAAGGCTGAGGTGGAAGGATTGCCTGAGCCCAGCAGGTCGAGGCTGTGGTGACTGTGAGCATGCCACTGCACTCCAGCCTGGGTGACAGAGTAAGACTCCAACTTCAAAAAAAAAAAGAAAGAAAGAAAAAAAGAAAATTTAGCCCTTATTTGGTAACTTTAGGCTCAGCTAACAACTATATTACTATAGGAGAGAAGAATGGGCCAGGCATGGGTGGCTTACACCTGTAACCCCAGCACTTTGGGAGGCCAAGGTAGGAGCATTGCTTGAGGCCAGGAGTTCAAGAACAGCCTAGACAACATAGTGAGATCTGGTCTGTACAAAAAAAAAAAAAAAGAACCGGAGTGGTGGCACGTGCCTGTAGTCCCCACTACTCTGGAGACTGAGGTGGAAGGATTGCCTGAGCCCAGGAGGTCTTAGCTGTGGTGAGCTGTGATCATGCCACTGCACTCCAGCCTGAGAGACACAGGGAGATCCCAACTCAAAAATAAAAAATAAAAAAGAGGAGAATGGATATTAAAGGACAATTATCAGTCACTGTCACAGAGACTACATTAACATTAGTTTACACTGGAGCTTCTTAGCATAGTTACATTTCTTTTCTTGTCAACTTTATGATTGTTTTGTTGGTGGATTTTTTCTAGTTAATCATTACTTCATTTTTTCCATTTGTTTCATGTCTATACACTATACTTTCATTATTTTTCCAGATTCCCTGATGATGTAATAAAACCCCTTTTCATATGGTCAAATATATCAACTGACCCATCAGTTCTATTTTTTTTTTTTCTTAAAGATCTCTCTCCTGGAGCTCATCATCCTCACGTACTAACCTAGACTAGTTGCTCTTTGGGTCTGCTCCACAGTTTTTGTCTTGAGACATTCCTTTATCATAAACATGGGACTTTGTCTCTTTCCTGTATATATTCGTTCCTTTGTATTTTTGTGCCTTGATCTTCCTTTATTTTAATTTTTTTGGCAGTTAACATCCTTCCATTTTCTGAGATAAAGAATGTGTTAAGAGATACAGACCCTGCATACATACCTGAAAATTTCTTTATTTTACCTTTAACATGACTGGTTGTCTGTGGACATAGGTTGAAAATGTATTTCTCTCAGATGTTGAAGGCTTTGTAACATTTCTAAGATTCTTGTGTTGTTATTGAAAAAGTCAAATGCTCCCTTGGTTTGTGATCCTTTGTAGGTGACCTTTATTTTCTCTCTGGAAGCTTTCAGATCTCTTTTTTTTCTAATCCCTGGTGCTCTGAAATTCCATGTTGATGTGCTTTGGTTTTGTTTTGTTTTCACTTACTGTGCTGAGCATGTAGTGGGTTCTTTTCATCAGAAACTACATGTTATGTTATTGAGATATAGAAATTCTTTTAAAAAAATTTTGGGCTTTCTCCTTGTTACTTACCTGTTTTCTCTTCCTGAAAGGTCTGTGGGTCAGATGTTGGATCTCCTGAATTGCTCATTTAATTTAATTTAAAAGAAATCTTTTATTTCCTTTTTATTTATATTTTCCTACTCTCTAGAAGATTTTCTCACCTTTTTTTCCAGTCTTTATTGAATTTTTAATTTCTGCCTTCACCTTTTTGTTTTCCATGTTTTTCGGAAGTTTTTTTTTTTTTTTCAGATTCAGGGGATACACATGCTTATTTGTTACATGGACATATTGTGTAGTGGTGGGGATTGGGTCTCCGGTGGTCCATTACCCAAATAGTGAACATCTTGCCACATAGATAGTTTCTGAACCCTAACTCTCCTTCCCTACTCCCCTTATTGGTGTCCCCAGTGTCCATTATTTCCATCTTTGTGACCATGTAGCTCCCACTTATGAGTGAGAATATGTGGTATTTGGTTTTCTGTTTCTGAGTCGTTTTACTTAGAATGATGATCTTTCAGGAGTTTTTTCTTAGTGATTAGCTATTCTTTAGTTTTATAGCATCCTGATCTTTTAATTTAATTATTTATTTGGTTAGTTTTTAAAGCAGCTTTATTGAGATATGGTTAAAATGCAGTGAAATATACATGTTTAAAGTATACAGTTAGATAAGTTTTTATATCTGTGAAACCATCACCATAATCAAGAGTGAACATATCTCAAATCCCAAAACGTTTCCTTGTTAATCCCTCATTCCTATCCCTTCCACTGACCCCCCATCCCTAAGCAACCACTGATTTCACTATCATCCTAATAATTTTTCATGGATTAAGAAAAATACTTCTCTTAACTTCAGAGGTTGTACTTCTCCCTGCATTCTCTTTCCTTAGTGATTTTCTTGAATGCATTCTTTTTTTTTTTTTTCAGTTGGAGTCTCACTCTGTCACCCAGGCTGGAGTGCAGTGGCCGCTCCTGGCCACTGCAGCCTCGACCTCCTGGGCTCTGGCGGTCCTTTTGCCTCAGCCTTCCAAGTAGCTGGAACTACAAGCGTGCGCTACCATGCCCAGCTAATTTTTTTTTTTTTATTGTAGAGATGAGGTCTTGCCAAGTTGCCCAGGCGGGTCTCGAATGCGTGGGCTCAGGCAATCCACTCATCTCAGCCTCCCAAAGTGCGGAATTACATGCTGAGCCACCGAGCCCGGCTTGAATGCATTCTTTTTTGCCCCTTAATGTTAGAAATTTTACTTACACATTTGGTGGATTCTTTGTTATCTGTTTTTATTTACGAGTGAGACACCAAAAAACGGACTGGAAGCTATACATGCATGGGTGGGGCCTGTAGACGTGTGGTCTTTATAGTGAAGTATTAATGGTTAGGTGGTGCCTTTTTTTCTCCAGATGTCATTTTTTTCCTCTTGGAATGGCCAGTTTTTCCAGAGTAATCTTTAAATCTACTGCCCAGGAGATAAAAGCATGATACTATGGTTCAGAAACCAAAAGGAGATAAGGGAGAAGCTGGTTGTTTCACTGCTCAAAGTATAGAATTTCACTCAGTTCCCCTGTTTGTGGTATGACACTTCTTCACCATCCACAGTGCTGGTATCCCGAGTCTAGAGCCTCAGTGGTTGATGACTTTGGAAGGGCAACCTCTTGCCTTCTGCTATATGTGTTGTGGTCTCTGATTCTGTGAAGTGGTGGAATGAGCATAGGGTCTAACTGTTCCCAAACAGATTCTCAAGGAATTCTCCTGTTTTCAGCTTCATCCCCCATTCCAGACTATGACATACTGATGTCTCCAATTCCTGAACTTTTCCAAGGTTCTGTGTCTTAAGTTGGCTTGTATCTTTTCTTTTCTCCCTGACAGCACTTTGGTTTCAGCTTTCTCTACTCTGTTAAACCAGTGATGTCTCCCACTTTCTTTGTCTTTGTCTCCTTTGTCACTTTGTATTCCTTCACCGTTTCTGAAGGGGAATAGAAATAAACCCATATGCTCAATCTTGTACATCCATCCCCTTTGGGTTTTTCTTTTTTTTTTTTTTTGAGTTGGAGTCTCACTCCATCACCCCGACTGGAGTGCAGTGGCATGCTCCCGGCCACTGCAACCTCGACCTGCTGGGCTCCGGCAATCCTTCCGCCTCAGCCTTCCAAGTAGCCGGGACTACAGGTGCACGCTACCACACTCGGTTAATTTTTGATTTATTGCAGATATGCGGTCTCGCCACGTTGCCCAGGCGGGTCTCAAACCCACAGGATCAGGCGATCCACTCACCTCAGCCTCCCAAAGTGCTGGGATTACAGGTTAAGCCACCTAGCCCGGCCCCCCTTGGGTTTTTCTAAAGAACTCTTGAAATTGAAAACGCTTTTCCTGCTCCCTCCCAGGGGAAAAAGCCACTCAAGGGAGAGAATAAATGAGGGCTGGGTAGGCCATCTCTGAAAGATTGCTAACCCTGGGCCACACCTTTAGCTAAGATAAAATATGATAAAGTATTTAATTTATTAACTTGTTCCATGTTATGGACAAGCAAAAACTTGTATTAGGCATTTCAAAAAATGTTTCACAAATATCCAAGTACTATGATACTCAGGGATACTGGCCAATTTTCCCTACAGTATTTCTAACTAGAAAGCTATACTTCTACTCTAGGACTCTAACTCCAGGTCCCAATCTTCATGAAAGGAATTCTCTTCATCCATAATTAAATACTTTGTTGTACTTCAATTATATACAAAGGTGCCATATAATGAATCCAACGTTGTTTTAACCTGTGCAAAGAAATTAGGAGATGTTTACAGGGCCGTAATCCCCTGCCGCTGAAATGTACGAATGTACAAGTATTGATTATAGTCACCCCACCCCCAGTACCTTTAAGGAGAAGTAGCCTGATAGGCTGGTCATTTTCATTCTATTTGAAGCCTCCCAAAGTCCTGTGGATTTTCTTTCTCCCTGTGAGGATAAACTAATTACACTTTACACAGCAGCCATTTATGTTAACATCACTTTTTTAAAAGACCTAACACTTGAATAACACATTATAGATGTGTATAACACTTGACGTTCTTGCATGCATGTTCTCAATGAACCAAGTTTGTGCTCAGTGACTTATGTTGTTTTTATAAGCTTGCTAGAGTTGTTTGCATTTCCCGGATTTTATAGTCACTTATCAAAAATGTCAATATCTTATTGTTCATTATGCATCCACAACATGCTTTGTCTCTAATGATCTTGTTTCCCTTTGTTTCTCTCTTTTCTAATTATTTTCCCAGGAATCCAACAAGATGGGAGTGCAATCCTTTAGTCTGATGAAGCTCTGTAGAAACAGTGACCGAAAACAGACAGCTGCCAAATTTTATAGCTTTCTTGTCCTAAAAAAACAGCAGGCGATTGAGCTGAGCCAGAATGCTCCCTATGCAGATATTATAGCTTCGATGGGCCCAATGTTTCATAAAATGTGAACAAAATCTAGAAATCCAGATTTATGTCATCACTGGAATATAGATTGTTCAATTTATTGTAGAAACCATCTAGAAGCAGTTGAAAGTCTGATCCATTTTATAGATAGCCTGTCCTATTTTTTTCTCTGTAAGTTCAGAATACTCATAGCCTGAATTTGAAATGTATATGTTTATAGAAATATTTACTTTTTTTTTAAGAGATAGAGTCTCTCTATGTTGCCCAGACTGCATTCAAACTCCTGGGCTCAAGCAATCCTTCTGCTTCAGCCTCTCAAGTAGCTGGAACTATAGGCACACACCACCAAGCCCAGTTCAGAAATATTTAATTATAGCTAAGTAATTTTTAAAAATTTAGCTGGTTAGAATGTATAGCATTTATAATTTCCTTTACTTTAATGTTGCATTTAGAGTACATTTAGGATAAATTTTTAAGCTGTTATATGACTTTGACAGTCAAGGTTGTTTTTTAAGAGGCTATTTGTACATTGGCTTATTTACTTGAATTTTGTGGGGTTAATTAATGATTAATACCTTTTTATTTCTACACAGAGTATATTTGATTGCAATGCATACATCCCTGATTGTCATGGGTTTTAATCTAATTATTAATTGAAGAGTTAAGAAATTCATTTTTGTTTTGAATTACCTGCATTACCTGCATGGCTTTTAATCTATAGGTGACTTAACCTTTTTATTTACTATTTAATGTTTACTATAACCACCGTTAATGTGTCAGAGAAACTAAATCTGCTTCTTATGTTACAAAAACTTAGCAGACACTTATTTACCATGTTGTCTGCAGCTACAATTTGAATAAAAATCACTAAAATAAAATTTTTTTATTTGGTGTTTACTGAGCATTTTCTTACATTAAAACCATTGTTTTTCTTTTTTCGCAGTTGAAGTTTGAGTTAGAAAATTTTCATATTACACTCTGTGGGCTCCACAGTACACTATAAAATGAAGGCTATGGTACTATTTAAAATACGGTTGTGAGCCGGGCTTGGTGGCTCAGCCTATAATCCCGCGCCTTTGGGAGGCTGAGGTGAGTGGATTGCCTGAGCCCGAGGGTTCGAGACCCGCCTGGGCAGCGAGACCTCATCTCTACAATAAATAAAAAAATCAGCCGGGCATGGTATCGCATGCCTGTAATTCTGGCTAATTGGAAGTCTGAGGCGGAAGGATCGCCAGAGCCCAGCAGGTCGAGGCTGCGGTGGCCGGGAGCGGCCACTGCACTCCAGTCTGGGTGACAGACTGAGACTCCAACTCAAAAAAAAAAAAAAAAAAATACGGTTGTATCTGTAGTTATGGTACAAACAACTAAATTCTAAATATCCTCTCTGAATGTATTCAGTATAAGATTTAAATGTCAAAATTATCCTTCTAAAGTTTCTTTTAGCCGGGCTCGGTGGCTCAGCCTGTAATCCCGCGCTTTGGGAGGCTGAGGTGAGTGGATTGCCTGAGCCCGCGGGTTCGAGATCAGCCTGGGCAACTTGGCGAGACCTCATCTCTACAATAAATCAAAAAAATTAGCCGGGCATGGCAGCACGCGCCTGTAGTTCCAGCTACTTTGAAGGCTGAGGCGGAAGGATCACCGGAGCCCAGCAGGTGGAGGCTGTGGTGGCCGGGAGTGGCCACTGCACTCCAGTCTGGGCGACAGAGTGGGACTCCAAAATAAAAATAAAATAAATAAATAAAAAATAAAGTTTTCTTTCATTTTTTAAATTAACATACAGAAAAATGACTTCTTAATTTTGGTGCACAGTTCTATGAATTTTAACATACTTATAGATTCCTGTAACCACCTCCATGATCAGTATGCAAATGGTAACATCACCCTAAAAAACTCTCGTGTTATCTCTTTGCAGTCACACCCTTCCATTATAGCATCTGGCAACCGCTCTTCTCCATGACTGCACTCTTGTATTTTTTGAAAGTGTCATATAAATGGAATCAAATTGCATGTAGCCTTTTGAGACCAGCTTCTTTCACTCAGTGTAACGTCTTTGAGATTCATCCCAGTTGTTGCAAGTGTCAGTGGTTTGTTCCTTTCTATTGCTGAGTAGTATTCTATTATCTGGATATACTACAGTTTATTTATCCATTAAATGACATTTAAGTTGCTTCCAACCTTGATAATTATAAATAAAGCTACATACATTTGTGCACAGTTTTTGTGTGAATATAAGTGTTTATTTCTTTAGGGTAAATATCTAGGAGTGGAATTACTGGATCATATGGTAAGTATATGTTTAACTTTATAAGAAATTACCAGGTTATTTTTCTGTGTACCGTTTTGCATTCCCACTAGCAATATAGATGAGTTCCATTTGATTTTTTGTTTACTCGTTATTTTGGGATACTTGTAGATCCACATGCAGTTGTAAGAAATAACACAGCGAGATCCTGTATACCAGTTTCCGCCAATGGTAACATCTTGCATAACTTTAGTGCAATATCACACTCAGAAAATTGGTATTAATACAATCCACCCACCTTATTTCGATTTCACCAGTTTTATATGCACTCGTTTGTGTGGACATTAATTCTGTGCAATTTTATCACGTGTAGCTTTGTGTGTTCACCATCATAGTCAATAAACAGTACACTTTCATCACTAGGATTAGTTGTGCTGCCCTTTCTCAGCCGCACTCACCTCCCCCTTTACCCTCCTCCCTAGCCCTTGAAAATCAATAAGCTGTTCTCCATCTCTATAATTTTGCCATTAATATTTTTAATTTTTATGGGTTAACCTTGTATTCTGTGACCTTGTTAAACTCACAAATGAGTTCTAGGTGTTTTGTGTGTTTATTTTTGTAGATTCCTTGGATTCTTCTACACAGACAATTGTGTTGTCTGTAAGTAGGGATAGTATTATTTCTTTCTTTGCAATATGTGTGTCTTTTATTTCTTTTTCTCACCCTATTTCATTGGCTAGAACTCCCAGTATGATGTTGAATAGGAGTGGTGAGATTGGACAACTTTGAATTGTTCCCAGTCTTAGGAGGAAAACATTTGCTCTTTCACCGTTGAGTATAATACGTACTACATTTGGGTTGTTTTTTTGGGGGGGTGAGTTTTTTATACCAGGTTAGCACCTTTCTTTTATTTTTAGTTTACCAAGTATTTTTTTTATCATGAATGGATGATTAATTTTTTCAGATTTTTTTTCCTACATCAACTGATTGGGTTATGAGGTTTTTCTTCTCTAGACTGTTAAAATGGTGGTATGCACTGATAGATTTTTACATTTTCAACCAGTCTTGCATTTCCAGGATAAACCCCACTTGGTCATGGTGTATTATTCCTTCTGTGTATTCCTGGATTCTATTTGCTAATATATTTTTAACAGTTTTATTGAGGTATAACTCACAAACCATTAACTCCACAAAGTGTTAAGTGTCTTCTGGTATATTTAGTGTCACACAACCATAACCATTATCTAATTTTAGAACATTTTCATCACCCGTAAAAGAAACCACATTCTCATTAGCAATCACTACTCTTTCACAACCATTGGCAACCACTAATCTACTTTCTGTCACTATGAATTTGTCTATTCTGTACATTTTACATAAATGAAATCACCCAATATGTTGCCTTTTATCTCTGGCTTCTTCCACCTAGTATACCCTTTTCAAGGGTTATCCATGTTGTAGAATGTATCTAACTTCATTCCTTTTCATGGCCAAATAATTATTCTTTTGTGTGGATATACCACATTTTGTTTATCCGTTCATCAATTGTTGGACAAGTGAGTTGTTTCACTTTCTAACTATTATGAATAAGGCTTTCATCATTAGTGCACAAGTTTTTATGTGTATATGTTTTCATTTTTCTTGGGTATGTATGCAGGAGTAGAATTTCTGGGTCATATGATAATTTTTGAGGAGCTGTCAAGCTGTTTTCCAAAGTAGCTGTATCATTTTACATTTCCACCAGCAATGTGTCAGAGTTCCAATTTCTCAATATTCTTCACAACACTTGTTATTGTCCTCATTTTTTTAAATTATAGTTATTCTAGTGAGTGTGAAGTGGTATCTGATGCTTTTGATTTGCATTTTCTTAATGACTAATGATGTTGAGCATCTTTTCGTGTGGATTTGCTAATATTTTGTTGAGGATTTTTGTGTCTGTGTTCATGAGGTATATTCTGTATTTTTCTTTTCTTGTACTGTCTTTTTCTGGTTTTGGTATCAAGGTGATAAAATAACTTAGAAAATGTTTCATCCTATTCTAGTTTTCTAGAAGAGACCATATATGTTTGTGCTATTTCTTCTCTAAATGGTTGGTAGAATTCACCCATAAAGCCATCTGGATCTGGAGATTTGTATCTTGTAAGATTTTAACTATGAATTCAATTTTAAAAATAGTTGTTGGACTATTAGTTATCTATTTCATTTTTGTAGTTGTTGGTTTTAAGGAATTGATCTGTTTCATCTATATTGTAGAGTTTATGTATGTAGAGTTGTTCAGGGTATTCCTTTATTATCATATTACTGTCTGTGGGTAATAACCCCTCCCTAATTTCAGATATTGTTAATTTATAACTTCTGTCTTTTTTCTTTTTCAGCCATGCAAGAGGTTTATTGATTTGATTGATCTTTTCAAAGAACCAGATTTGGGTTTCATTGATTTTCTTTTTTGTTTTTCTGCTTTTAATTCCATTTATTTCTGCTGTTATGTTTATTATTTCTTTCCTTTGGCTTGTTTTGAACTTATTTTGCTTTATCTTTCTAGTTTTATTAAGGAGGAAGTTTGGATAATTGATTTGAGATTTTCCTTTTTTTCTAATACAGAGTGCCAAAAATATGTATACGCGATTTTATTTTATTTTTTTACTTATTTTATTTATTTTATTTTTTTTGAATTGGAGTCCCACTCTGTCACTCAGACTGGAGTGCAGTGGCCGCTCTCGGCCACAGCAGACTCTACCTGCTGGGCTCCGGTGATCCTTCCGCCTCAGCCTTCCAAGTAGCTGGAACTACAGGCGCGTGCTA